AGTCAGAGGAGGGGAGGAGGCTGTGGTGAGCCCAGGCCAGCTCCGGGTGACTGCCGACCCATAATCGACTGCGCACAGCAGAGCCTACGGTTCTAGAGTCGTTCAGATGGCATGTGCCGGGGAAAGGCTGCTTGAGTGGGGGCATAACTGAGGTTTTCCTCGTGTGAATGACGTTGGGCAGTCGGCTGAGCTGAGAGGGAAGTCAGAGGAGGGGAGGAGGCTGTGGTGAGCCCAGGCCAGCTCCGGGTGACTGCCGACCCATAATCGACTGCGCACAGCAGAGCCTACGGTTCTAGAGTCGTTCAGATGGCATGTGCCGGGGAAAGGCTGCTTGAGTGGGGGCATAACTGAGGTTTTCCTCGTGTGAATGACGTTGGGCAGTCGGCTGAGCTGAGAGGGAGGGAGATGATCTTTTCACTTTCCTCTGAAGCTTCAGGACACTGGTCTTGAGGGACACTAGGTCTGGTTACGCTTTGCAAATCTTAAGTTCTGTGGCTTGCTTAAGTGTCCCTTCTACCCCAATGCCGTAGACGTGGCGACAAAGGATTTCCAAACAGTTGGGATCTCTCTGCAAAGGTCTTGCCTGAGACTCGCTCCTGCCATACCGGAAGGACCATGTTGGCATTTGATGCTCGCTCCCGCTGGAAGAATCTCTGTGTAGTCTCTGCATAGAATCATTTCTGCTCTGCTGATCCCCTTTGAGCACTGCAAGAGCCTGAAATCTGTCAAATGCACCTTTTATATGTACATGTGCAAAACCCTGCTGCTCTCTGGGGTCCGGAACCCTGCTGTGATGTGAGCTGCAACCCGATGAGCTGCCGTCCAGAGAGAGCTGGAGTGTGGCCACTCCAGAGAGGAGGCCAGGAATTGTTTCCTTATTGTAACCACTGTGCATTAAGGAAACTGTCTGTTGTGGTAGGCCAGGGTGATGCATAGCAGGACTTCTGCTTGGAGACCAAAAAATAACTTGTGAAGGGTAATGGCTGGTGAGTAGTTAGTGGGCAGTGTAGGACTGAAAAGGTCAGCACGCCATTCCAAAGCCCTGGGAAATCAGAGATTTTTTTCAAAGCTGTAAAGTAAATGGATCCATTTTGAAACATTTCTTGGTTGATTTAACAGTTGATTTTACTGTGAAAATTAACTAATGAATATATTGTGGCTTAACTTCTAACAGCTTTGAAAGTCTCTGATTTCCCGGATTTTTTTTTTTAATTTTCAAAACTTTATTTCTTTTCACAGAAAAAAAATGAAATGCAGAAGTAAACATGAACCAAACAAGAATTCCCTCTTACCGTGCGTGAGCAGGAGGAATACACAGGACAAACGCATTTGTATCCCAAACACTGCAATAAACAAATATTGTAACTCACCGGCCTTTCTGTGTATTTTGTAAAGTGTCTCAACAGAATGCTTACAAAATCAACCACTAGAAAACCGGCGTGGGTTCAGTCCTCCACTGAGGCAGCAGGACAGTATGGAAGGGAGGAAGCGGGGCAAGAGAAGGAGAGGGTTAGTAGAAGAGGATTAGCGAAATTCACCAAGATGCTTGCATCCCGTGCTGGACACTTAGTGTCCAGCGCTTTCAAATGGTGAAGCTGATCCCCTCAGTCCTGTTGTGCATCATGAGTGTCACGGTGGCAGCTCCCTGGTTTTATTAGTGGTTCTGTTCTGTTTGCGGTCCCTGGACGGACTCCCTCCCCTGTCGTGGGCCGGAGAGTATTTGGGACTGCAAAACATGCCTCGGGCAGCAGGATGAGCTCGCTTTCCCCGGTGGTGCTCTGTGCCGCTGGGTTATGCGATAGCAGGGGCTCCCCACAGGCTGGACTCGAGCAGATCTTTACGTCTCGTTTTTCTTTCCCACAGTTGTGGCAGGAAAGCCCCCGAGCGTGACCGTAGGCCAGTCTGGCTCAGGCATAAAGGAGCTCACGGGATTACTTACCACCCCCAAGTGAGTGTATCGTTTTATTTTTAATCAGTGGCTCTCTGAGGGAGCTGAGCCAGTCGCAGGTGGGGCTCCAGCGTCTGCCACCTCCTCCCATGTAGAGTGCAAGAGGCCCAGTTCTGTGTCTGACTCCTGAGGAGCAGGCGGCACCCAGCTCCCCGGGCTCTTTGTTGGGGTTGACTCCTTTCAGGCCAGTCCTGGGATGTGTTGGCAGAGGCGATAGACTCAGACCTCCATGGTCTGGTGAGACTGGTAGTACTGTCTCTATCCTCTCCTGCCTTCATTCCAGGCCTGGCCCAGCCTTCGTCTCTGCCTGGTGCCAGACACTCGCTCCACCAGGGCTGGAGGAATTTGTAAAGTAATTCTCCTTTGAAATACCCCTGGGAGTTTCTTGTTGGGCTGCCTCTGGCTTCTCATCTCCCATGGGGCTGCTCTGGTTTGCTGCACACCCCAAAGTGGCAGCCCCACCTTTAACCAGGATCTGGAAAATAAAACATGCTCTAAATTGAGTGGTCCCTTTAACGCCAAAGGTGGAGTCTGCATAGCACCGGGTGGGCGTGGCATCTCCCACCCCACGGCTGCTGCTCGGAGCTTGCCACAGTGACATTTCCAGCCTCCGCCAGCCCTTCCAGAAGGAGAGTGGCGATGAGCTGCAACCTTCACCCTAGGAATACATCCCTCAGAGCCTCGTGTCACGGGCGTGCGCTGGCATTGTGTCTCTGCTTGTCTTCCAGGCTGAATGCTGCAGTGGAAACCCCCTCGGCCATGGTCCCTAGCAGCACAGCTCCCAGCCCCTTCCATTCCTTGCAGAGCAGGCTGGTGGCCAGCAGTGCCCACTGCAGGCAGGCCCAGCCTAGCAGCGCGCTCCAAGGTACCTGCCTTTTTCTTTATCCCTCCTACCCCTGGCTTGGGAGTGTGCAGAGCAGCCCCAGGCTGCACATGGCGGCGTTTCCCTGCCTTCACCTTTGTCGTAACCCAGTGGCTTCGTCAGGAGCTAGGGAGTGATCCTGGTGGAGAGTGGAACCTGGGGCCAGGCCCTGTCTCCACTGCGGGCGGAGGCGTTAGATTGGGTGCAGTTATTTCAGCGCATGGTCCATATACAGCCACGTCCCTTTCGGGTCAGCTTTGGCAAATCACCCCCTAGAAAGAGGGGAAGCAGTCCAAAGTGGTTTGTTTTGGCCCATTTTGAAGTGGAATATTTTAGGGTTTTTGTTTGGAAACAGTGTTTGGTTTAATAATTTAGCTTGTAACAAAAAAGGGTGGAAGATGCCCCAAAATGCCAGAAAAAAATTCCTGCTCGAGAGACCGCTCACAGGGAGATCCAAGGGGCTCCCACAGGTCAGGAGACACTGTGACTGTAGGGCACAGCCTCCGGCCGCAGCTTCTCCACCAAGGATGAGAAACTGGCTCGTTGTCGCAAATTATTCCCCAGCCTTGTTTACTTTCAGGAGCAGCATCCGCAAGCAGCCTCCTGCAGGGACTGAGCTTCAGCCTGCAGGACATCGGCACCAAGGCCTCAGCCCTTCCAGCCAGCGTAGCATCCGCGGGGCCGTCCATACAGGTAGGCAGGCACGGGCTCTCCTGGAGAGAGGGAAACGGGAGGCGGGGACGATGCCTTCTCCACAAAGACCCTGCTGCCTGGAGGCCGGGGGCAGTGGTAGCTGAAGGGATGTGGAAAATGGGTGTTCTGGCTCAGGAGGCGCTGAAACCTGGGCTGTGAGAGGAGTCGTCGGGGCCTTTTCCATGCCTGCTTCTCCCCATCCGCTCCAACAGGGGCAGCCCACAGAGACAGTGCCAGCGCCTCAGCAAGGCGTCCGCATGGCTGCCCCTCCACTGTAAAATCCAGGTGTCCATGGGGAAAGGGCCGAACGCCATCTGCCCTGGGGCTGAGACGCACTAAGTCCCCTGGACAGCAAGAGAGCAGGGCAGGACACCTCCCCCTTCCCCTGGTGCTCATCACACGTGCCTGGCCTTTCCTCGCAGACCTCGGCGGGGAAGACACCGGCGCCTGTCCAGAGTCTCAGTGCCATAACCACGGGCACTGGGACAATTGTCCGCACCATTCCAGTGGGCACGTCCTTGTCGTCTCTCAGCGCCTCGGGGAGTGGGAAGCCTACGGCAATTCACCAGTTGTTGACCAACGGCGGGCTGGCCAAGCTGGCCAGCAGCCTTCCTGGCTTGGCTCAGATCTCCAACCCAGCAGCAGGTAAGGGCTAGGGTAGTGCTGGTGGGGCATTGTGGGATGGAGAGGCAGGCCACCTCCCCACCCTGCAGGGCCACCTGCTTTCAGACTGGGCAGCATTGCTAAGCTTGTTTGCTGTTCAGGGTGCTGTGTGAATGCTGGTGTCCCCTCCCGGCAGGCTGCCCCTGTGGAGACAGGCACGTGGAGAGGGAGCCGGCGGCAGAGCTGGGATCTGTTGCCACGGACCATGAATCCTCCCCAGTAGGAGTCGATCTTCATTGGGCACCTGGGGCATGTCTAAACTTCCTTTTTTCGAAAGAGGATATGCAAATTCTCACTTTCGAAAAAGGATCTTTTGAAAGTGAAAGTAGTCTGGACACGGTTTTTTGGGGGAAAACCCCTTTTTCAAAAAAACTGTGTAAACCTCATATTTTAAGGAAGAGTGGTTTTTTCGAAAAAGGCTTTTTCCTGAAAAAAACACGTTCAGACTACTTTAACTTTCAAAATATCTGCTACAATATCTACACTGCTGTCTCAAACAGATCTGCCCTGAGTCTGTCTTCCTCGGTGGGGTGTCTTACTTCTAGATGCATTACACCCAGGCCTGTTTTGAAGGCCCCTTTGCATGTTCCTTGATATCAGGCTGACTCAGACCTCACATGGTTGAGATTGGCTTGCACACAGGACCAGGGCTGTTGGTCCCTGAGTCCCCTCATTCCTAGAGCATTCCAGGCCCCAGAGAGCCACGGTCCAGCAGGGGCTCTCCTTGGAGGTGGCAGACTCTGCCCTGTCTTTTTCCCCCGCCCCGCCTAGGGGAACTCGCATTACTCCTGGGCTCGTCCAGCCCTGGGTCGGGGGGTCTGGATAGCACTGCCAGCGACTGTGGAGAGCTGAGGTTGGGCTTTCCCAGCGGGGCGTGTGCAGTGCGTGTGCTGGGTCGGGCACTGAGATCCTGGCCACGTGGCTCGTTCGGTGCTGCAGCTGGCGGGCGGCTCTTTGATCTGCTTCTCCGGTCTGGGCGATGTGTGCGCCCGGCAATCGGCCGCCAGCAGTGACCTGCCTCACTCTGTCTTCCAGGCTTGAAGGCTCCGACCACTATTACAGTGACCCTGAGAGGGCAGCCTAACCGGGTCACTCCCCTGAGCCAAGCAGCCGTGGGGACGCTCCAGCCCCAGCTGGAGGAGCAGCAGCTGCAGACGCAGGCACCTCAGGTAATTCTAGGCCTCTGGTCTTAGGCAAAGAGACGCCATTGGGCATATGTAACACTTCCCTGGCCGGCGTTGGCTGACCCACGTGTTGTGTGCAGGCACAGCTGGGCAGGGGCGTGTTCTGCCAGAGGGCCCAGACGCCATGGGGCTTTTCTCAGTAGGGAGGTTTCTTGGTGCGGAAGCCAGGGTGTTTAACCCTTACGATAGCTGTGACCTTGCAGCGCCGACCTAAGGGCATCACGTCAGTCAGCGAGAGCAGGCTGCTTAACGCAGGGTTGTGGATTTTTCCCC